CTTAGGTGTGTGTCGTTGTGTCATGCAAAGAGTTATGCTGACTTTACATTAAATGTTAGAATTTGTAGTCATTATTATATTAGAAATTTTTGTAGTTTTCAAGAGTCTCAAAGAAAATTGTATATTAATTTTTTTTGTCAGCCATCACATTTCCAAACAGTATTTTTAAAAAACAAAGGTAAATGTGATATGGCAGATGAGCAGACTAACCAAAATCAGTGGTTAAGGGGATTTCATTTTAGATCCTTTTTAATAATCAAAGAAAAATGTGACATTTGCCTTGGATATTAAGGGAAAAAAAAGTTTTATTGAAGTTAGAGCTAAAATAGCATACTCAGTTTTATAGCTTTTGCAGATAATGTCCTTTGCAACTTTACATTCATTTCAGATCAGTCTGTAAATCAAGAGTTCTATCTTATGGTAATTTTAGAAAAATAAAGCTTGTATCATTTTATCTACAACCACCATTTAGGTAAGTTAAAAATTACATTGGTATTAAAAAAAGAGGAAAATTACTTAAGAAGCTAAGTTTTATCAAAAACTAGAAAACAAATCAACTTGTTTTCTTAATCAGGTGGGAAGGCAACTTCAAGGGTAAGAGTAAATAAACTCTCTTCTTTAGAAAGTTGACAAGAGCACTTTGTTTGTTAAATACAGTCTAATGTATTGTATGTATACTATAATTTCCAGTAAAATGTAGCTTGTAAATTTTCTGAATCAGCTCCTTAGTACTAGGTATAATATAGCTAAAATCTTAATATATTTTACAGTATATAAAAGACCATAACTTCATAAGTACTTTTTAACATATCTTTGGTAGAACTTTTTGATTTAAAAAATTATTCATTCCTACTTTGTTCAAATATTAATAGCAATATTTTTAGGCTTTCATTTTTCCTGGTGGTTCTTTGGGAGGATTTGCAAGCAAATTAAACAAGCAAGAGTGGGAAAGGGAACATTTATTTGTCTTTGAATATTTAGAAATAGATTTTTACCCTTGCCCAACAAAACCCTCTTGAATTCAGTAGATAACTAAAGAAATTCTTTTGCTTTGCTGCAGAGTTCTACTGCCTAACTCCCCTCTTGTATTAGAAAATCCAGCATAAATTTGTCATAGCCTGGTCAGTAGTTAAAACAACATTTCAGAGTTGAAAATAATTTTTATTAATTAAACCATTAGGGAATCTTTTTTTAACTACAGATAGGAAACATAGTTATTTCTGTGTTTTTTGCCAAGAAGCATGGCCTTAAACACATTTTTATACATACCTGATTTCTTAGCTACTTAAACTTATGCTGTTGTAAACATTACTTAATCATATTTAGTTGTCTATTTTTCTATTGAACAATTACACAATGTTACGGAGAGTCTTATTCTAAAATTCCTTTATATCATATCAATGTATGATTCCTGTTTTTTAAGTGTAATTAACAATGTATGTGTCAGAGTAAGCGCAAAAAAAGAAAAGTGGGGGAAAGATGAATACCATATGAAGACAAGCAGATACTTTGGATTAGTTACATATTTTAAGAAGGACATAAGCAATATCATTTCTTGTTTTGCTTTAGTATTCTTGGCAATCCAAGACACCTCAAGACTGACAATGGTCCCGCCTATACTAGCAGGAATTTTGCACAATTTTATCTCACCTATAATATCACTCTACTGGCATCCTGTACAATCTTACTGGACAAGCCATTGTTGAAAGGTGTAACAAGGATATTAAAATCCTCCTTGATAAACAGAAAAAAAAAAAAGAGGGAATAGAAAATAGGGTAAGAAGGAGATTGGATCAGGTAATATATACCACAAATTTTTTGACACTAGATGATCAGGGATGTACTTCTGCACAAAAACATTTTGTAGGACAAAAGAACAGGTTGATAGATGAGCAACCAGATGTCACGGTAATGTGGAAGGATCCAAAGACGGGTAATTGGGATGGTCCAGTAAAATTACTAACCTGGGGTCGAGGTTATGCTTGTGTTTTTCCAGAACATGCAGGAGAACCAGTCTGGGTTCCCGAGAGGAACATCCATACCTGTCAGCATACTGACCAGAGGGATAGAGACCCTGAGCCTCAAAGGAAAAACTGGTTGGAGAGACAAGCGGAGGAGGAAGGCGAGACGAGAAGACAAAGAGCCAATAATAAGATGTTGACTGTCCTTTTTGCAATGATGACTGTCACAGATGTCTCTGGGATGGAGTCATGATTACATTGGACTTATATGCCTTACCCCCCTTTCGGATAAACCTGTAACTTGAAATGTGATTACCACTATACTTTTGTTTGTGTAACTCCCTATTTGCTTTCTAATACTACCAATGTAACTCCTGATCAAATATTGAATAAGCTTCAGGGTGCTTGGCATTCCAAAAATATAACATGGATGGTATTGATCCTCAAGATATTGTTTATAAGCTGTTGTACTATGTCAAGCAACTTAACACTTTCCAGAATATTTCAAGTTTGCTGTTGCATTTCGTACCCTGATAGTATTCTTGTTACTCTTGAGTTTTCTCCTGATGTGCATCCCACATTCTCAAGCTAGAATAGAAGAAAGGGGGAGATGTAGAGGGCCAGCTTTGGGGAACTGGAGGGCTTAGGCCATCCCGGGTCTTATCTGTAGATTGTACTAAGCCTGACAGCTGTGAAACTCAGGATGTCGGCTCACCACGCCCCGTTCCGTCTCTTGAGAACAGGATGCAGGAAGGGAGGAAACAGGGTACAGGACAGGATGCAGGAAAGAAAGTAACAGACAAGGTATAAGGAAGTAGGGAAATCACTTAATTAGGTTTGTACTTTTCATGGAAAATAATGTTACTATTGCTTGATCCAGTACTATATAAGCCTGAGACCTCAGGTCAATAAACGAAGTTTGTTCTTCACATCTTCCACCTGGCCCGTGATTCTTTCTCTCTTCACACTCTGCCGGCATCAGACCACGGCCACAGATGCAGGCACTTGCAGCAATCTCTCATGACAAAGAGTTTAAAAAGAAAATTTCAGTAAAGTTCTTATCAATTTCTGAGGGCCATTAAACAATTTTATACTGAGCATTAATACCTGGGAAATCAACAAATGCTACAATTAAGGTCTTGCAATATACTTTTTATTGTTCAGATTTTACAAAGTGAAGGAGAAATATTAACAATGTATATTAAACTTAAATTGTGTCTTGTTTAGTTTTTTTTCTCCAGAGAGACAATTGTTAAATATTTACCAAAACACTTCTGAGTAAAACTAACCAAAGTATTGACAAAGTTTGGTTTTATGTGCAGTATCTCTCGCCCATTTCCTCCTCCCAACCTTTTCAAAAACCAAACCAAATGAAACAAACAAAAAACAACAGTGAGGTGTGTGTGGAAGGACCTTTTAATATCTTTTGGTATTTTTGAGTTCGGTCATTAAAGTAGGTAGCTTTGAGTACCAATTGTTTTGCTGTTATTTCCTAATCATATTGTAATAATCACTCTGTATTTTGTTTTCTTGGTACTGCAAATTTCACTTTCCATGAATCCATATATCTCGACTCATGTTTCTCTGTATTCAATATTATTGTTTCATTGCATTCATGTAACACAGTTTGTTCAGCTATTCCCCAGGAGATAAGCATTGTTTTAATTCTTTACTACTACAGAAAGTAGACAATGATTTTTGTTCTCACAGTGACATGGTAGATATACTTCTGGATTTCCATCATTCCTGATAGATATTCAGACAAGGAAGTTATCTCATCATTTGATGGAGGTGTGTGATGAATAATGGCCCAAATAAACAGTGCCTGTTGGTTGAGTCCTCTTGGATTTTAAGTTTGGGGGTTTGGTTGTTTTTTAAGACCTTAGTATTTTTTGTAATTATTTTTGTTCCCTGCCATTTCAAATAAAAGCTCTAAACACTTTTTGACAATATTCTTTTGGAGAACCTTTAGGGTCTTACTCTGCCACAACATCTCTCTTCAGATGTTGAAGTAATTCCTCAGAGTTCAGCACACCACAGATGAAATTGTAATTATCAGGAGAAGGGTCATCACAACTATCCATAATGTACTCATGCTCCATTATACAGCTTAATGGTCTTTTTCTTTTTGTTTTCAATGAGGTCAAGGGGAACTGAGCTCTGAATCCCAGATGACCCAATAAAAAGTGCTTTACTGCCAAGTGATCTTCCTAATCATTAATAAGGTTCTTATAAAACATGCTATACCCAACCTGGCTGTTGTTGTTGCTGTTGTTTGTCCTTCATTCTCAAAGAGAAATGATGACATCACCAGGCTGATGTCTTGACTTAGGCATGAATTGGACTTAAGTGATGCAGAGCTGTGCAAAGTCATCAGCCTCATTCTCTCCTCCAGAGTCATAGGAGTCCAGTGGCAAGATAAAAGTCAAGATGACTGGCAGTGGCCCTACCTCTTCTGGCTAATATCATCAGGTTTATGTATCCAGATTGGCTTAGTCTTGGTCTACTCTTCTTGATCAATGTATTGCTCCTTGAACTTCTTGGTTTTCTTCTTGTCCTTTCCTTCATGTACCTCAGCTGATCTTACATCTTCAATCTTGGGGTTTTCTCATCTTTAGCTGTATTTTCCCCTCTTCTCTTTGTCTTTCTCTGTTTCATCATCACTCATTTCTGTTTCTTATTCTTTCTCCAAAAAAAAGTGTGATGGGGTAGCCAATGAACTTCTTTACAACTTTTTGGTCCACATACCCTCTAAGTACTTTTTTTTTTTTACTGGTCTTATTTTAGATGTAAGATCACCTTGGTGCCTTTATCAATATGCTGACCATGGTCAACTCAGACTGTGAAGGAGCTATCAATAAAAGATTTTCAGGCATGCTCTTCATAATAATTAATCTTAGTGATGACAACTACCTCCTCTTCCACTAGGTTGTTACTGTTTTGTTGTTCATACTTCATTTTCAAAGAGGAGCCCAATGTCTTGACTTTCATGGGAATTGGAATTAAGTGAGATAGAGTTGGAGAGTCATCTGCCTCACTTTCTCTTCAAGAGACATTGAAGTCCAGTGGCAAGACAAAAGTCAAGATGACTGATGATGGCCTGTGATACAGTGAATGATGTTGGCATTTTCAATGCCACTAGGTAAGCAGAATAGAAAGCTACACCAAATTGACCAATCATGGAGATGATAATTCCAGGCTGCAAAGTCTTCATGGAAGTCTTGGTGTCAGACTTCGCAATGATTAGTCTTTATTATTCTAATGTCAGTGTCTACTAAAGTCAGGGTATACTACTGAGAGTTTGGGATGATGTCAATATTCAAATCCTTGTCACAGCCCAGTTTGAGAGATCTGTCAAACTTTCATAGTGGATCTTATACAGAGAATAAGAGGCATTGGAAATTATCATTTGAAGGAAGATTTCCTTTTTGGAATGAAAAATGTTAATAATCAAGGCAATCTTTGAGCAATCTTTGACTGTAGGGCAAAAGTATCCATTTCCTCCTCTCTATGCTATACTTTTTCAGGTATCTTGAATAGTTTCAGCTTATCAGGATAGTATAGGGAACTATTAAGTTCAGCAGCTCCAAATAATGAGAAGCATGAGTAGCTTGGCACAAGAGAAGCTCTGAAATAATATTTCAATGATCTTTAATGTGGACTTTATTTTCACTTACATATTCAGGGCCTGTGTGAGAAAGGAAATCATTCTTTCATAAGTTAAATATTAGAGTAGTATATAGCTAACAGCTGTATATGTGAAATAATCTGCCACTCTATGGAATTATCTGTGTGAGGCATCCCTTTACAACTGCAGATGCAACATGTTTTTGATTAAATAGTTAAATCCTGAGAAATCATCCAGGGCACTGAGAGGTTAAATGACATCTTCTAAATGAATTGTATTATATAAATATAACATCTCTAATATATTAAATATAATAAAAATGTAACATAAATATCATAAAAACACAAAATCTCTAATGTATAGACAGGGACAAATAAATTCCTGAAAATGAAATCATTCTTAGTGACATATGAGATAGAGAGTTTCACCCATTATAAAATATATTGAATGTATTTTGAAGTGGAGATGCTTACCTTATCTGTTCTCTCTATGAAATTATCTTGCGCTAAATGTTTTTGTTTTCTGATTTTGACTTCTGAATTGTATTTTCTATAGAGGTAAGGTATCCAATGCACCCCATTCTTAAGTTGGCTCTGTCCTCCCATAATTTCATTAATATTTTTCATAAATTCAACCTTTGAGCTAAAAGAAAAAAAGAAAAATAAAGGAAGTCATTGCCTGCAGCAAAAATTCAGTTGCTGTTAATGTTTCCTGTAGGAAGGCCACTTGCTAACGCATTTCCTAGTGCAGACTTCAAAAGCCTGACTCCTTAAAATGAAAGAGAATCGGAAAGCCTGAAGGTAGAACCAATGACCTCTTCCTCTTCCATCCCCTTTGTCCTGTGAATCGGACATAATAGATACCTTGTGAGGGGAAACCAGCCTGGACTGTGGGAAGGTATGTGGTTTAAAGAATCATTTCTTTGCATGATTTGTAAGTTTCAGTACCAGCAAAGAATGGTAAAGACTAATGAAGGGAGACACCTATTTTACTATTTCCAGAAACAATTAAAACATATAATACATATTAAGAATCTATTTCCGATGATTCCTAGAATAAAATGGAACTAATTCATTACTAGACTTTAACAGTGTTAGATATTCTAGAATTAAATTCATAGAAAAACATACATATACACACATACACACAACATGTAAGCTATTGATAGAATTTATCTTAATGTAGGTGGTGGGGAATTAAATAAGGAAAGGGGATGGGTGGTCCTAGTTAGTTAAGGTTATCCTGAGCAAAAATCTATTTCCAGGGCTTACTTTATAAGCATCCCGAGGGATTCTCTATCTTGATTTGCCTTATTCTTTGGATGGGGAAATTTCTGAATTATCACTATTTACAGTGTTTCATTATTATTGTTTAGTCATTTAGATTTACTATCATATGAATAAGGTACTTCCTGAGCTCTTCTATTTGGGAAAGGGAGTCATGGGGTAGGGAAATATTAGGGACCTAGAACATGGTAAATGTGTGACTATGAGTAGTGACTTGATGACACCTAAATTTTCTGTAGTAAGAGTGATTTTTAAGGCAGCTGCCCCTGGAACTTTTGTGGGGTGGTTTCCTGCCTGATTTCTGAAGTGCTCAGGCCCAACTGGGTCTAGTAATCCTGAAGCCCATGGCTTCAAGAAAGTGACTTTGCAGTGTTCTGGGCAGATCCAGTGAAGTACTCCCTATCTAAACCAGGAAAGGTTTCAGTATTTACCCATACCCATTGGAGATTGCCTAAGCCATGCATGGAGAGAGAAAGCTCAGGGTATGGTGGAAAGAGGGGAAAGATTCAACTCACCTCTAAAGGACATTTAGTCTGAGGCCTGGCTAGTCCCAATGTGGCCCTGCCAAAGTTCTGGTCTAAAAGAGAAAGCAGTATCAGAGCATTCAAGGCAGAATATACAAAGGCAAATAAGCATCCCCCAGAGATCAGACCTCCACATGCTTCAGCATAGCCCCTGGCAAACAGGATGGTACAGCAGCTAGACTTTCATGTATTTCAGTGTAGCCCCAGGGAAATGCATAAACACTCTCAGCACACACCAGATACTACCACTAGGACTGCACCTAAGCACCAGGTGAATCACCAGATCCCTACAGTCTCCAGCAGCTCCAGGCAACCCCCACTCTACTCCCTCAGTACATCACCAGAAACGAGGGTCCCTCAAGGGCCTCAGGGCAACATCAATGAAGCACCAAGTAAACAGCCAGGGTTGGTAGCCACTGGCACAAGGAGCCTGGGACAGTGCCTCTTCTATCCTTGGCATAGAGCTCAAATTTCAAAGAAAGGAAAAAATAGCCCCTACAAAAAAAGAGGAGCAAATAATAACAGCAAAAAAAAAAAGAATCTGACCACAGAAAGTGATTATGGTGACAGGGAAGACCAAGACACAAACTCAGAAGAGGACAACAATGTCAAAACACCTATGGGCAAAACCCCAAAGAAAAATGGGAAATGGTCTCAAGCCCAGAAAGAACTCATGGAAGAGCTCAAAAAGGAGCTTAAAAAATCATACAAGAGAGGTAGAATAAAAAATGGGGAAAGAAATGAGAGTAATCCAAGAGAATTATGAAAAAACAGTCAACAGCTTGGAAAACTGCTTATAGAATTGGCCAAATGGAAAAGGAGATACAAAAATCCACTGAACCAAACAACCCCTTAAAGAGTACAATTGATGGAATGGAAAAGAAAGCACAGAGGTTAAGGAAAACGGCAGCTTAAAATTTAGAATTGGGCGTGTGGAAGCTAATGACCCCATGAGGCATCAAGAATCAAACAAGTAAATTCAAAAGAATGAAAAAATGGAAGAAAATATAAAATGCGTCATGGGAAAAAACAACTGACCTAGAAAATATATCCAAGGGAGACAACAGCAGAATCACTGGGTTACCTGAAAGTTATAATCAAAAGCAGGACCTGGATAGAATATTTCATGAAAACTGCCATGATGTCCTCAAACCAGAGGGCAAAATAAGCATTGAAAGAATCCACTGATCACCTCAGGAAGGAGATACTAAAATAAAAACTCCAAAGAACATTGTAGCCAAAGTTCAGACCTGTCAGGTCAAGGGAAAAAAATACTACAAGTGGCCAGAGAGACACAATTCAAATATTGGGGAATTACAATCAGGATCACAGAGGACTTGGCAGTTTCAATGTTAAAGGATCAGAGTTCGGGGAAAATGATATTCCAAAAGACAAAGGAGCTAGGAAATCAACCAAGAATCACTTAGCCAGGAAATTTAAGTATAATACATCAAGGGGAAGAATTGTCATTCAATGAAATAAAATTATTTCATACTGTCATAAGGAGACCAGACCTAAACCAAAAATTTGACCTCAAGATCAAGACCCAAGAGAAGCATAAACATGTAAAAATGGAAAAGAAAACAGAAAGGATTCAATAGAGCTAAACTATTTACATTTTTGCATGGGAAAATAATACTTGTAATTCTTTTTTAAAAATTGTATCATTAACAGTACAGCTAGAAAGAATATACGTAGACAGACAGTATGGGCATAAGGTGAATTAGATGGAATGACATAAAAAAATTAAGGAATGGGAAAGAGGACTACAATGGGTGCAGAAGGAAGGGAGAGGTAGAAAGGGCTAAATTATTTCAAATGAAGAGGTGCTATAGACCTATTACAGTGGAGGGGAAGATGAGAGGGTAGGCAATGAGCACCTCTTGAACCTTACTCTTGTTAGTATTTGACTCAAACAGGGTATCATATACACAGTCAGTTGAATATGAAAATCTTTCTTAACCAACAATGAAGTAGGAGCTAAGGAGATCAAGTAAAGGGGGGGAGAGATGGGGGTTGACAGAAGGGAGGCCAGATCAAGGGAGGTAGTAGAGAGAAACAAAACACTAGTGAGTAGGGAAAGGGTAAAAGGAGAGAGAGGACAGAGAAGAGGAAGAATAGGATGGAGGGAAATACATAGGCAGTAATCATAACTGGAATGTGAATGGGATGAATCTTCCCATAAAATGGAAGTGGATCTCAGAATCAAAAACCAGAATTTTACAATGTTGTTTACAAGAAACACACTTGAAGCAGAGAGACATGCACAGAGTAAAGGTAAAGGATTATAGCAGAATCTATTATGATTCAATTGAACAAGAAAAAAAAAGGAAGGTTAGCAATTCTAATCTCAGAAAAAATAAAACCAAAAATAGACCTAATTAAAAGAGATATGGAAGGAAACTACATCTTGTTAAAAGGTACCATGGGCAATGAGGCAATATCAATACTAAATATGTATACACCAAGTGGTATAGCATCCATACTTTTAAAGGAGAAGTTAAGTAAGTTGCAGGAAGAAATAGAAAGCAAAACTATACTAGTGGGAGACCTCAACTGTTCCCTATCAGGACTCAATAAATCCAACGAAAAAATAAACAAGAAAGAAACTAAGGAGGTAAATAGAATATTAGAAAAGTTAGGTATAACAGACTTGTGGCATGATTTAGACATAAAGGGTGATACCATAAACAAATTAGAAAAGCAAGGAATGGTCTTCCTGTCAGATCTATGGGGAGGGAAAGAATTCATGACTAAACAAGAGATAGCATTGCAAAATGTAAAATAGATGATTTTGTTTGTATTAAATTTAAAAAAGCTTTCATACAAACAAAACCAATGCGACCAAGATTAGAAGGAAAGCAAAAAGCTGGGAAACAATCTTTATAACAAGTATATCTATCTATCTATCTATCTGTGTAGGCCTCATTTCTCAAATACATAGAAAACTAACTTAAACTTACAAGAATACAAGCTATCCCCTAATTAATAATAGGTCAAAGGATATGAACAGGAAGTTTTCAGTTGAAAAAATCAAAGCCATCTACAGGCATATGAAGAAGTGCTCTAAATCATCTTTGATTAGAGAAAGGCAAATTAAAACAATTCTGAAGTACCATCTCACACCTATCTGATTGGCTAATATGACAGAAAAGGAAAAATGATAAATGCTGGAGAACATGTGGAAAATCAGGACACTAATGTACTGTTGGTGGAATTCTGAACTGATCCAACCATTCTGAAGAGCAATTTCTAACTATGCCCAAAGGGCTATAGAACTGTGCCTACCCTTTGATCCAGCAATACCACTACTAGGTCTGTATCCCCAAGAGATCACAAAAAAGTAAAAAGGACCTACATATGCAAAAATATTTATAGCAGCCTTTTCTGTGGGGGCAAAAAACTTGGAAATTGAGGGGATGGCCATTAATTGGGGAATGGCTGAATAAGCTGGAAAACTATTGTGCTATAAGAAATGATAAGCAGGCAGATTTCAGAAAAACCTGGAAAGATTTGTACAAACTGATACAAAATGAAATGAGCAGAACCAGGAAAACTTTGTACACAAGATCAGCAATATTGTGTGATGATCAACTATGAATGACTCAGCTCTTCTCAGCAACACAATAATCCAAGAGAAGTACAAAGGACTCATGAAGGAAAATGTTATCCATATCCAGACAAAGAATTGATGGACTCTGAATGTAGATCGAAGCATGGGTTTTTTTTACCTTATTGATCTGTTTTGATCTTCTTTCACAACTGTGACTATCATGGAAATATTTTACATGATAGCACATGTATAAACTATATCAAACTATCTACCACTTTCAGAAGAGGGGAGGGGAGAGAGGAAGGGAAAAAAATTTGGAACTCAAAATCTTATAAAAAGGAATGCTGAATTTTTTCTTGACATGTAACTGAGGAAAATAAAATAAAATATTATTTAAAAAAAAGAATTTAGTAGGGCATGTGTAGTCCCAGCCAAAGTGTGGAAGAAAGGCCTTGGGCAAAAATTCAGCCCAAGAATCCCCTGAATTCTGTGATGGAAGCTCAGTGGAGGAACAAGCCATGAGTCCTCAATAAGATGGAAAGACCTCAGGTGAAACCTACAATAACTAGAGATCCCAAAATCCTTTGAGAAAAAAATGGGCATCCAGGTAGAGATCAGCATTCTCTTCAAGTACTCAGGATATGAGTACCTACCAATGCCAGTGTCAAGTGAGATGTTTTCCATCTACCCTAATTCACCTTCTCCCTGTGTAGGGAATCTACTATTTCCTGCTGCCACCTAATTTCCAGCACCTTCAGGTGATAAGAAGAATCAATCATGCACTAGCACTCCCCTTATACCTGCTATCTCCCACTGGGAACATTGTGTTCTTTGACAGAAAATAACAAAAGTACCAAGTAGTTGTCTTCCATCCAGTGCTAAAAGGAGGAACTTTACATTTTATTTCAGGTCTTCCATCTACTACTACACCTGTACTTTGAAGAAAGAGGAAGAGGAAAGTTGATGGGGAACAACACTTCTTTTTTATTGGTGTATAGGCTTGCCTTCCATCTCCTGCTGTACTCTTCCTCACCTAATGTCCACCCTTTGGGTAGAAAAGAGATGTTTCATCTGATCATCTGGCCCATACACCCATTATTTCATTCTGATCTTACCTTCACTCACAATCTCTTTCCTCTTTTGGGAAGTGGACTGAATGTATCAGTGATTCTGAGACTCTATAGGCCATCATCCAAAGCCCATTGCCAACACCCCATCTCCTAATATGTTATTCCTACTCCCTTCCAACCTCCCACCTCAACCAAATACCACCTAACCCTTCCAATGTACCCTCTGAAATGCCTATTCCATTGGCAACAAATTTCTTTTCATCCTACTTTTTTACCTTTCCACTCCTTCAACTTACTAGTTATTACTGAAATTTAGCCTCCACAAGATGACACAGTGTCCCTAGGAAGTGCTTTTCAATTCTGGCTGCACTTTTACTAATTCTCCTCTACTCACTGGTTAAAATAGAAGAGTTAAAATACTCTTTAATAT